AATCACACAAGACAGCAGTTATAGAAGAAGTTTAAAGTTTCCATTTGAATTCCAACTCAAACTTCCGGATCTTTACACAGCTTTAGTCAAGCTTCAATTCCATGATAGTTTCAAAGGAATACCTAGAAATTACAAAGGATAAGAAATGACGGATTAGCAATAACAGTAGCAGGAACTAGCCCAGGTTCAACAATCAACAGCGAAACCAGCTTAAACAGCTCAATGGAATAGTACACAACTGGAAAACTTGAATCACCTTTTCTGAAATTTTAGCTATTGATTTTTCAGAATTTTTACCTCTATTTTTCTCTTCTCAAAAATCTGACTTGAGCTTCAAGCAGCAATGCCTTTATAGGCAAGCTATTAGGGCAACCTTAAGGGTTCAGTTTTTTCCTTTAGACCTGTTCCAATTTTTATTTTTGCAGCTTAGTCCCTAAATTACTGACTTGCTTGCCCAACAAGTCTGTTTTTCAGCTTCTAGGAAGCTTCTTCAGGTGGTTACTCATAGATTTCCTACGTACATTACCCAAAAGAGCCCTTAGTTACCCTGTTTTTACCCCCTGGACCAAACGAGTATGGGTTATGAATCCAAACGGGCTCAATGGTTCATTAAACATGGGCTCAGGTTCAAGCCAAACCAAACTTTCTTGGAATGGGGTCTAGACTGACCTCAGAGCCCAAGTAACAAGGCTGACCCAAAACCAAATCAAAGCATGAAAGGGAAGCACTTAAGTAACTTCAAAAAACTAAGAAACAAACAGATTGACTAATTAACGATCACAAACAGGCATTGAACTAATTGAGAAATTAAGCTAAATGACCAAAACAAAATGTAAAATCAAAGGTTCAAACATGCAATAAATAGAACTAGACAAACCAAAGAAATCAGAAAACAAACTTAAAAAGGAAAACAATCACCAAGAAGAGAGGTTCTGGATCCAAGACTTTGACCCAGGCTCAATTTGGATGACCTCTGACCAAAGAGAGAACAAGAACAGAGGTGATACATAAATAATTTCGAAACCAAAAAAAAATGAAAGGGACCCAGGCTCAATGCGTATATTTTGGTATTTTTCATGATTTAAATAAAACTTAAATGTGCACAAAAATGCAAACAATTAAATAAAATTCTACAAAATTCCTAAAATGGTAAATAATTAACAAACATCTATTTTCTTGGGATTTTATAGGAGTATTTTATATACGGCAAAAATCACGTGCTCACAGACAGCATCATCTCCAATCACAACCTCCTTAGCACTACCATGTTGCACAGTGTCTTTCAATACCAACAAGTGCGGATCATCAAACCGGCGAGCCGTGATACGCTCCAACAACGATGATTGTGTCGTAACAAAAGAAAGAACTCAGTTAGGCACCTAAATATCTAAACTCTAGAACTGATTGGTCAAGGGATGAACATCCACGGCTAATGGCCTCTCCAGTGCTGGTAAATATGCCAAACTATCTGTGCTCTCTACCTTCCTACTTAATGCATTAGCCTTCCCCAGATGATATAGTATGGTGACATCATAGTCTTTCAACAACTCTAACCATCTCCTTTGCTACAAATTACGGTCCTTCCACTTGAAACATGTGCTGGAGACACTGATGGTTGGTATAGACCTCATATGGAATGCCATATAGATAGTGCCTCCAAATCTTCAATGCGTGAATAATGGCTCCCAACTCTAAGTCAAGCATAGGTTAATTCTTTTCATGAACCTTCAACTGTCGGGACGCATAGGCAATCACCCTACTGTCCTGTATCAACAATGCACCAATCCCAATACACGATGCATCACAATATACAATGTAAGGTCCCGAACTTGGAGGCGACACTAACACTGGGGTTGTAGTCAATGCAGTCATAAGCTTCTGAAAGCTCACCTCACACTCATCAGACCATATGAAAAAAAAGCACCCTTGTAGGTCAACTTGGTCAATAAGGCCGAGATAAATGAAAATCCCTCCACGATCCAGCGATAATAACCCAGCAAACCTAAAAAGTTCCAAATCTCTATAGCTGAAGTAGGTCTAGGCTAGTTCTGAACTGCCTCAATCTTCTTAGTATCCACCTTGATGCCTTCGGAAGACACAACATGGACTAAAAAGGCAACCAAGTCTAACTAGAACTCACACTTCAAAAACTTGGCATATAATTGACGACCCTTCAATGTTTGAAGTACGATCCATAGGTGTTGTTCATGCTCCTTTCGATTGCGGGAGAAAATAAAATATCATCGATGAAGACAATCATGGAGGAATCCAGATAAGACTTGAAGACCAGGTTCATCAAATCCATAAAGGTTGTTGTGGTATTAGTCAAGCCAAATGACATCACAAAGAAATCGTAGTGATAATACCGAGCTCAAAAAGCTATCTTAGGTACACCCGATGCCTTAATCTTCACCTAATGGTAGCCCGACCTCAAGTCAATCTTGGAAAACACCTTGGCACCCATAAGTTGGTCATATAAGTCATTAATCCTCAACATCATATACTTGTTCTTGATAGTGGCCTTGTTCAACTACTGATAGTCTATGCACATCCTCATCGATCCGTCCTTTTTCTTCATAAACAAAAAGGTGCACGCCTTCATATAGCAGCAAGGTTGGACAATTACACAGTACCACGTAATCGACCGACTCACAATTTCCATGATTCAAGCCCACACACTCATCACCTAGCATGTGCGTCACCTCAACAACAATCGCATCACACGTATTTCAGGGATTCATACCCTCAAAACCAAGTTTAGAAGTGTTACTTACCTCAAACCGCACAAATCCCTACTCTAACAAGCCATTGCATTGCGAATCGGCCTCCGAACGACTCAAATATAGCCACAAACAGCTTAATACAAACAATACAAGCTATAGGATTCAATTCTTTGCGATAAAGCTAAGTTATTTAACAAAAGTCAAAAAATCAACCCAAAAAATCTGAGCCTACATCTCAGAATCTTACAAAATTTAATGTCACTACCCTGGTTCGCCTTCCGTGAACCATCTTGACTATTCTCCATGACTAGGTAAACCTAAATTGCGGAAGATAACCAAAACTTGCAGAAGTAAGTAATTTAAAAAAAGAAATAAGGCAATAATAGTGTTTAAATGTGCCGCTCGACATACACCATATATAAATCTCAAAACCAATATCCAAATCCAAGACCCGGAACCCACAAATCACAAGCTAAGAAAAATAAATACTACATAGCTCTAACTTCAGAATTTTTGTCTAATAAGAACAGAAGTACAGAAGGGCTAAATACTAAAAGCATGAATAGAAAGGGACTTCTCGGTCTGCAGACACGGTAGATGTACCTCGAAGTCTCTAAGCAATCGCCTCCCTCAAGGATGGTAGGTGAGTAGAAGTACCTGGATCTACACATGAAAAAATATGCGCAGAAGAGGCATGAGTACACCACCGGTACTCAGTAAGTTCCAAGCCTAACCTCGGTTGGATAGTGACGAGGAAGGTTAGGGTCCTACTGAGGTTAAATAAATATAGAGATGACAGGATAAGATAAGCAGTACAATTGGGAATCTATAGTAAAAATCTACAATAAGAGTACAATAACGGAAATAGAGATGAAGGCAAACCACAAGGAAGTAACCGGGGATATCACAGTATCCCGAGGATCTCTTAGTACCATCAATATATGCCAGAGATCTCTTGGTATCCCGAGATCTCTCGGTATCCCGAGATCTCTCGGTATCCTCAATATATAATAGGGATCTTTTGGTATCCCGAGGATCTCTTGGTATCCTCAGTATATGCTAGGGATCTCTTGGTATCCTCAATATACATGTCAGGGATCTCTTGGTATCTTGCACCTCAGTCCAAATCATAAATACGTACAGGGGATCTCCCAGGATGCCGTCCCGTAGTCCCAAATTAAAAACACATAGAAGCAACACACGAATACTCAATTAAATGCAAAATTTCGTACCAAGTAAACAGTTAATTCTAGCCTAACATGCTTCACGTAATGCAATTAAGGTAGTTTAAGCCGTAATTAAATCAACTAAGCATGCTTTTCTAAACTACAACAGGCTAAATTCGTAAGTAGACTAAAGCAGGAAAAAGGAACTCAATTGAAATACTTAAAGTAAAACCGGATTTTCAACAATTAGCTCAAGTACGCACTCGTCACCTCACGTACAAGACATTTCAATTACCAAATATATCATATCCTAAGGGGAATGTCCCCCACACAAGGTTAGACAAGCCACATACCTCGAACAGGCTCAAAGTCAACCCGAAACCACGTTTTTGCCACGAGTACTCGACTCCAAATGACCCAAATCTATTCAATTCAATTGCATAATGTAAATAACACTCACTACTGGAAAATGGCTATTTTGCGACTGCAAAAATGGTCAAAAAATGCTAATTTCCGATTAGACCAAAATGTTGTAGTCGCAAAATAGCTAGTCTGAAATAGTTTGCGACCGAATCCGTCCGTAATTTGCGACTACAGCGGTCGCTAAGGCAAAATAGAAAAAGGACTAATAAATATGCTAAAGTTTCTGACTGACGCGGTCGCAAACAAGTTAAATTAAATTTTAATTTTATATTAACTTTTCCACTACTTCAGTCGCAAACGGTATATATAATTACAATAATATTTAGTTTTGTTTGAGTTTTTCCACTATGGTGGTCGCAAATCTAATTTTAAATTATTTATTTATTTATCCTTCCGACTACTATGGTCGCAAATCTAATTTAAAACTATTTATTTATTTGTATTTCCGACTACAGTAGTCGCAGATGTTCCTAAATCTGAAATATTTTGATGCATTTTGCGACTACTATGGTCGGAAATAAGTCGGAAAACTGGGAATTTTATGCCAAATTCCAACACTTTTAAAGCAATATCACCTACCAATTCAAATATACAACAACCAATTAATCTACCATGCCAACCAACCAATCCACTATTGCAACTAATCAAATTCATAAAATGCAAAACATAAATATTTGTAACTAAAACATCCAAAAAGAGTTAAACATTGTGGCACCATTCAATCTAGTCTAAAATATTACAATCATAGTCAAGTGTAAATATTACCAAGTCTAAACATCCAACTACAATAAATAATAATGTCTCAAAAATTCAATAACCATAACAAACTAAAACTCATTATCCCCGCCATCCTCGCCATTCAAAGGACCAAATGGACGTCCGCTCATAAATTTCTCCACTAGACTGCAATTTGTTAAAATTTGCGCGATCTTCTTTCCTTTCCTCCTTCAACTCTTCAACTTCTTTTCATAATGCTTCTACCTCTTCGTGTTCTTGCGAATAACTCGCATCACCAGACAACAATGTCGTAGAACGACCTACAGAATATTATGATCCAAGACCGTAGGTTCTACCTTTCTTTGTGCCGCCAACCACCTGCGTCCATATTGAAGTTACATTGTTGAGTGACACTTGGGTTGAGCTACCATCCTCGGAATCGGGTTGACTTTGATGCCATTCCTCAAAACATTGCTGATAGGCTTCCTGAAATTATGGAGTCAAACCGATACTTGAAGAAATTAAAATGTGCGTTTCATATTTTTCCGATGAAGCATGTATCTATAAAAATACAAACACACACATAAACAAGGAAGGAAATGGTGCAAGTATGATGAAAGTAAAATTTAAGAAGAAAGAAAAAACTTATACTTAGGCAACAAACAATACTTTTTCCATTTTTTCTAGCTCATGCTTCCTTCTTTTTCCTTTACTATTTCTTTCTTCCCCAATCAATGCCATGCTCTTTCTTTATCTTTTTTTAATTCCTCCAGTCTACTTCTCACTCATTAATGTCAAGAATCATTTCTTAGGGAAGCACTACAGGATCTTTTTCTCAAACTACCGCTACTTCTGAGAGCCAACATCCATTATAAAAGTACATGGATATGTGAGTCTACATGAAGAAATTTTGCATGCCAAAACCAGAGGCAAAAGATGCACAATTACAAGCCAATATAAACTGGATATGTACTAATCAAATTGTGGACTGGATATGTACTAAGAAGCACTTGGAAGTTGGAAATTAGGGTGATAGAAAATTATTTTATTTCCTCAAGGAAAATGCTTACAATAAAACCATATTAACATCTACGAATTTTTCGGGATGTGTATCTAGACATAAATAATCACATGTTTTACAACAAAACCATTTTAACATCTACGAATTTTCGGGGATGTGTATCTTGACATATTGCTTGATAGAGCAAAATTTGTTATAGCTGCATAAGTCCTTGGTGACTTAATGTATAACCAATTTTTTTATTCTCTTATATTTGAATGATTTGTTTATAAAAAAGTCCAACCTCATGAAAAATGCACTTATTCTGTGCAAATTGTCAGTCAGTGCATTTCTATGAAACAAAAGGAAGGTTAATGCTTCCATGCTTCTCCATCTGACGGAAGACACAAAATACCAGGTGGCCTTCTATTTTCATAGTGTCATCTCATATGAGGAGTAGAGCTCATTGATGCATACAACCTCTTTAACCTAGGTATAAGGGGTAAGTAATGCATCACCTTAATTGGAACCTTCTTATTTTTTTAATTTATGGCTTTCTTGTAACGAGGTTGGTTATAAATTTGCAATTATCTAAGGCTGCATCATCCTTATAAAATAATATGTAACCTTTCTCACAATAGTCAATCCTCTCTGATGAAAGTCCTAACTTGAAAACCAATTTCTTTGCTGTGTAGAAATCTTTGGGTAGGTCAATTTTATTAGGATTAAGTTCATTCATAAGGCCAATGATAGAGTCCATGCCCGCTTGAGAAATACTTGAATCTGATTTAATACTTAATAACCTAACTGCGACAGACAACTTAGAATGCATTGAGCCTTTATACAATGGACGACTTGCTTCCTCTAACTATTCATAGAAGCGCCTAGCATCATCATTTGGTTCAGACTGAGCCCCCGGGTGCATCACAAAAGCATCCCAAACCATTTCACTGAATCAAGAATTTTCAGCATTATTCTCTGCTAATGGACTATCCTCACTATCAAAAAAAAATTGAAAATCGACGTTACCAACACTAGCAACATCCTCTCCATGAATAGTTTACACGTAATAATTTTCCATAAACCCTTTTTTATAAAGATGAACTTTAACAATATTTGGTTGTAATAACTTTCTGCATTTGCATTTCATACAAGGACACCTAATCACCCCTTCACTGAGAAATTCATGAAGTATTTTTGTTTTAGCCATAAATTCGGCAACCCCTTCTATAAATTCCTCCCTCAACCCACTACGATTAGGATAAGTTCGATTATACATCTATCTACGATGTGCAAGCTCCATCTACACAAAATAAATCCAAGATATGTAAAATAAAACATATTAATTAGTATTATGATCATTTAACACAAGCCATCTATACAAATACATTCTAATTGCAAACCACATTTTCTAAGAGATTCCATTTCGTAACTAGCTACTTACAATACTTTCCATGGAACTTATCTGGAAAACACAATCAGAGAAAGATGGAAAATTTATAGAAAAAAATAAAAATGTAACTAGGTACTTACATATTCAGCACAATCTTAGTGCTGCTTAAACAATAAAATTGTACTTTTACCAATCAAAAAAAGAAAACATCTACACATAACTCATATGTTAACCTATAAGTTTGCGCATCTGATCTCATAGATGCAGCTGGGCAAATACATTACTTCTTTTTTCTGATAATAACATTTTCGGTCAGAAATTAACATTTTTCTAGTAATGAATACTGTATGTTATGGTTATTAGGTAACTATATATTCTGATCTCGTTGCATTTACTCTCTATCCTCAGAACCCCCATATCATCTCACAACACTCATTTTAAACGAAATAAGACCTATAAACTTTCCTGATAAACTGAAATTTGACTAACATCTTTAAATTTTACTTGTAACTTAAAGGATCTAAAAATGAAATAACAATTAATTTACTCAACCAATATAACTAAATTCTGTATGTTCAGGACTCAATATCTAGAGCATGAAGTACGTTATCTGGGGGATTTTAACATTAGCAGTTTTCAGGAATACGAATGAGTATTTGAGAAGAACTCTAATATATAATTGAACTTCAAAAATTAATAAAGTGAGACTTGCCAAATATCATATTATGAGCAGGACATTAGCAGTTTTCAGGAATACGAATGAGTATTTAAGAAAAACTCTGATATATAATTGAACTTCAAAAATTAATAAAGTGAGACTTGCCAAATATCATATTATGAGCAGGATTTAGGAGATAATAATTTAGAGAATAGTTTACACAAATTTAGACGATAATTTATTCACTCAACTGAAACGTTTCTCTTCTTACATACTGAATATTATAAAAAGCTCCTCTTATTTGGAAGATAGAAAATCAAAGCAAATAGAAGATACTAAAATATAAGTGAAACAGAAATACAGTACGGAGAAATACACAGCAACTTAACAACTCAAAAATACGGAACAAAACAAGAAAAATCACAAATAAATGAAGCATGAGGGATTTGATCAAACATACCTCGAATTTCAGCAAAAGAAATTAGGTTCTGCGACCTCAAAAGAGAAACCTCCAAATTTGCAACTTGATGGAAAAATGGATTTGAGAAACCCCCGATTCCACTGACGGATTTGAGATATAAAAAGGGAAATAAAAACTTAGTGAGTGATTAGTGATTTACCTGGGATGAGATATTAAAGAACGGTCGAGCAGAGAGAGAGAGGCGGTCGAGCAGAGAGAGAGATAAATGAAATTGGGGAAATAGGGTTTTGTTGTGAAATATTAAATTAATATTACTGACCATCTTAGTCACAAACTCACTTAATATTCTTTTATCATTTTGTATTTTAGTTTTGTGACCGAGACAGTTGCTTAGTGGGTAACCTGATATTTTAACTTTTCAATGTCCGACTGAATCGGTCACAAAAGTGAAGGCAGGAAATTGGCGCATTGTTTTCCCACTGCCTTTGTCAGAATAATAGTCGATTTTTCTTTTTATAAATAAGTAATGAAAATTCAATTTTTTTCCGACCACTGCCGTCGCAAAAGCAGTCCCATTAGCGACTACTTCATTTTCGGCCACAAAATTCTGTCACAAATTGATTTTTTCTAGTAATGACTTCAAGTAACTGGTTCTACAATTAAAGTCTAAGCTAATATGCAAAATTATATAAAATGACCAAAACGCCCCTTAGGCCCACGTCTCGGAATTGGGTGAAATTTATATTTTTAGAAACTTCGTACTCTCACGAGTCTATTCATAACAAGAACACTGAAATAGGAGTCCAAATGACCCATCGAATTCTCATTTAAAGGCCTTTTAAACTCAAGCCCTAATTAATTATTTTTTTCCCAATTTCTCGCCACTAATTAGGTCTTTAATCACATAAAAACAAGTTATGAAGTCAAGGATGTTACCTCCAAGCGTTTCTCCTTTGTTTTCCTCAAAAATCTCTCTCAAAAGCTTTAGACCCGGATGAAAATGGTTAAAGAATCCCTCAAATTCGCGAAGGCAACTATTTATACAGCGATTTCCGCATTTGTGACCCTGGGACTGCATCTGCGGTCCCGCTTCTGCGGAAACTACGTCGCATCTGCGACTTTCATTAAATTACCAGAAACTGCATCTGCGATCACCCTTTCGCAGATGCGCTACCACATCTGTGGTATTTCTGATGCATCTGTGGAACCCGAAGAAAGGACCAAAATTAGCTTCTGCGATCTCCTTAGCCGCTTCTGCGGCGCCACATCTGGGGTCCCCAAACTGCAGATGCGATAATACCAGAAGCAACAACATACAGCAGCTGCAACATTTCCTCAACTTCTCGTTAACCATCCGAAATCACCCCGAGGCCCCTGGGACCTCAACCAAAGGCATCAACATATCCTAAACCTTATTCAAACTTGTACCAATCCTCAAAACACCTAAAACAACATCAAAACCTCGAATTAACCATGGATTTAAGCCTAAGAACTCCAAATTTCTCAAAATACGCTTTCGATCAAAAAGTCTATCAAACCTCGTCTGAATAACTTGAAATTCCGCACACACATCCCAAATGACACAACGGAACAATTGAAACTCTCGGAATTCCATTCCGACCCTCGGATCAAAATCTCACTATCAAAACGGGAACTTCCAAAATTAAATTTTCGGCATTTCAAGCCTAAATTAGCTACGGACCTCCAAAACACAATCCGAACACGCTCCTAACCCCAAAATCACCTAACGGAACTAACAGAACCATCGGATTTCCATTCCGAGGCTGTCTTCACACTGTTCCGAATACGGTCAACTTTCCAATACTTAAGCTCACATTTAGGGACTAAGTGTCCCAAAATTCTCCGAAACATAAAACCGAACATCCCGGCAAATCAAAAATAGCAAAAATAGACTGGTCGGGTCGTTACATCCTCCTACACTTAAACATTCGTTCATTCTCGAACGAGCATAGAGACATACCTGAAGTAGTGAAAAGATGAGGGTAACGGCTGCGCATATACTGCTCAGTCTCCCAGGTCGCCTCCTCGACCGGCTGACCCCGTTATTGGACATCCACTGATGCAATGTTCTTTGACCTCAGCTTTCTAAACTGCCTGTCCAATATTGCCACTGGCTCCTAAATATAAGATAGATCCTTGTCCAACTGGACTAAACTGAAATCCAACACGTGCGGCGGATCACCTTGATACCTATAGAGCATCAAAACATGAAATACCAAATTAACTCCTGCCAAGTTGGGAGGTAAGGCAAGTTCATAAGCAACCTCCCAACATGCCTTAATATCTCAAAAGGGCCAATAAACCTTGGACTTAACTTCCCTTTCTTCCCGAATCTCATAACGCCCTTCATAGGAGAAACCCGAAGCATAACCCACTCTCCAACCCTATATGAAGCATCACGAACCTTCCGGTCCGTGTAACTCTTCTGTCTGGACTGGGCTGTATGGAGTCTATCCCAAATCACCTTAACCTTCTCCAAAGCATCCTGAACCAAATCTGTGCCCAATAGTCTAGCCTCACCCAACTCAAACCAACCCATCGGAAATGTACACCGCCTACCATATAAAGCCTCATACGGTGCCATTTGAATGCTGGACCGATAGCTATTATTATAAGCAAACTCCGTTAATGGCAAGAACTGATCCCAAGACCCTCCAAACTCAATCACACATGCATGGGGCACATCCTCAAGAATCTAAATAGTGCGCTTGGACTATCCATCCATATAAGGGTGAAATGATGTGCTCAACTCTACTCGAGTACCTAACTCATGCTGAACGGCTCTCCAGAACCGTGATGTGAACTGGGTACCTCTATTTGAAATGATGGAAACCGGAATACCATGCAGACGAACAATCTCCCGGATATAGACCTCTGCCAGCCGCTCCGAGGAATAAGTAGTACACAGAAGAATAAAGTGAGCGAACTTGGTTAGCCGATCCACAATCACCCAAATAGCATCAAACTTCCTCAAAGTCTGTGGGAGCCTAACTGCAAAGTCCATGGTGATCCGCTCCCACTTCCACTCCGGAATCTCTATCTGCTGAAGCAACCCACCAGTCTCAAGTGCTCATACTTCACCTGTTAACAGTTGAGACACCGAGCTACAAATCCAACTATATCTCGCAGCCCATCAACATTGTGTACACAAATCCGACCTTGCATCCTCAATACCCCCATCATCACCAATAGTCACATCTCTGGCATCTCCATGCTGAACCTTGTCCTTGAGGACAAGCAAATGAGGGTCATCATACTGTCGCTCCCTAATACGATCAAATAAGAAAGACCGAGAAAACACGCAAGCTAGAACCCAACTGGGCTCCGAAAGATCCAATCTTACAAATTAGATGCCTAAGGCCTGAACATCCATCGCCAAAGGCCTATCTAATACTGGTAAATAAGCCAAAATCCCCAAACTCTCTGCCCGACGATTCAAAGCATAGACCACCACATTGGCCTTGCCCGAGTGATAAAAAATAGTGATATCATAGTCCTTCAGCAACTCCAACTAGGGGTGGGCATAAAATCCGAAAAACCAAATTCCGAACCGAACCAAATTAATTTGGTATTTCGGTTTCGGTTTTTTCGGTTTTTTGGTCTAATTCAGTACTGGATTTTCGGTATTTTGGTATTTCAATTCGGTTCTCGGTATTATAATTTTATAATTTCAGTAAATCGAAATACCGAAAATTTGGTGACCCTATATAATATATACTCTTCCTCTCTATTCTCTTCTTAAGCCCAATTACGAATTACCCAAGCCCATACGGCCATACCGTCCCACCCAGCTCCCCCAAGCCCAATTACCCAAGCCCCAAGCCTATTACTTTTCCTCTCTAATCTCTTCAGTCTTCTCTTACAGCCTTAGGCCCTTAGTTAATCTCTTTACTCAGACCATCTGAAATTCTAAATCAAATTAGGGCATTAGGGCTTAACTTAGGATATCATCTAAATCGAGAATCGACTGCGACTCTGTGAGTCTACGACCAGTCGACAGTCGAGCTCGAGTCTCATCTCATCTTCACCGGTTAACTTCACTACTTTTGTAAGTCTCATCTCATCTCATCCCAGTACTCTCTGAGGTTTCTTCTGAGTTTTTATATTTTTAGGTTTTGAACTTTTTAAGTTCAGAGTTCAGACGCATAAGTTTTTTAATTTCTGATTTTCTGCATCAAACTAATTTAGGGTTATAGGCGGCGATTCCCAGCTCGATTCGATTCCTCACTCCTCACAAATTTTGGGAAAACGAAGTGTCGAAGATGTTGTTGTCCTGTTCCAGTGTTCCGATCTCGATTCAATTTCAATTTCAAAGGTATGTTTCGTTTTCTTTTGGTTGTACTACTGATTGAATGAACTGTTGTTCCGAACTTTCCTTGCATTTTTCTTGTGATAGACACTTTAGGATGATGACAGTTGAGTGAATTCACTGTTAGTTTTCTTTGTTGTGACATTCTTATGGTTGTTGGTTGCTGGAGTCATAATAAGTTAGCTTGTTGAAATCTTAGTTTCTATCAGGAATATTTCACAAGGATAACCGAATGTGAAAAGAGTTATAATCATCTCTTGCTGGAATCTTAATACTTTTGTAGTTTTGTTTTATTATCATCAAAATATAATATTCTAACTTATGATTTATATTCCTGTTGTTGCTGGAATGGCTGTGACTCATGCAGATCTTGCACCAAGTCGCCCTAGTACCAATTTAGGTAGCAAAATGGGTGCATTTCTTATGGTCTTGTCAATACTTCTTGGCCTCCTCTGCTTCATTCTCTCCCTCATTGCCGAAGCCACGCATTCTCAAGTAGGTTTCTTTTTCGTATTTAACTTATATACGCAGATGGTGTAAAAGAACTGTATACTATAAGTATGTCTTAACATATTGCAACATGTAATTTACTTTATGTTTCAAATTTACTTTATCGTTATCTTTTAGGTGACCTGATTTTTGTAAGAAGTTAAATTATGCTACATAGTTTCTCTCAAAAAGATGTACCACAATTTCTGTTGAAAACAGGGAAAGGTTCATGAAAGAAGGCCAATTTTAGTTAAAAACATCTTTTAGAACAGTGAATTGTTGCATATTGGAATTGAAAAATACTTAATTTAAATGGAAATTGCAGGTGATATTGAGTGGAAAAAGAGGAGGGAGAAATGAATGCACATATACTGGTAGTGGGAAAACACCTCTACTGTGTGCTTCTGCTGCATTTTTGGCTCTGGCTATTGCCATGGTGATTGAACACACATATTTGTTGATTGTTGTGAGCAAAGCAACTCCTCCTCATATACTTT